CGAGTGCCAACGCTGCTTTGTGTTTCCTCACATCTGACAGGACTGGATTCAAAGGTCCCACACTTCTGAGACAGAAGATCCCAACATGAGTGAAATTTTCATCTGGAGACTGTGCAGAAATGAACATTCATCCAGACTGAAACGAAACTGGAAACCCAGGAACACAGAGCATTCTTCTAAAACAGTTTAATAAAAAAATTGTGAAGTTTCTTGAAAAACTGGAGAAACCCAAAGCATATCGTGTGTCACCTGTCTTAGTCACAAAGAAACACAATTGTCAAAAAAGATATTTAAGTTTAATACAAATTTTATACAAAGAAAATGTGAAAAAATACTTCCATATGCTAAAAGCAATTATGCTTCACAAATAAGGCCAGCTAGGCTATTTTTGACACAACTGCAATTCACGAATATTCTGTTCCCGCTTTTTTTCTTCTAATACTTTTTCCCTCTAATACGGGTACTAGCTGGAGACTGTACAAACCGCATTCTTTTATAAACAATGGGAGAAATCAACATGACTAAAATGTACAACAGAATGTACTGGAATGATATCATACAATTAATTTTCTCATATACATACATCACCTTTGCTTTGTTCAATGCTTTCGTTTTACACAACATACAAAATGGTACGACAGTATAAGTGTAACAGACAGCATTTGCAGGGGTTACTTTCTCTCATACTGTACTGTTTCATGCTTACATAAAAACATAAATTCCATCATATAAATAATACATGCTCTAGCCCAGCATCAAAAGTCCTTTGCCCATGTTTCCCGATCCATGTTTTTCTCCACACTTGGTTCTTGTCCAAAGTCCTTTTGGAGGATTTTAAAAAAAGAAAACTGAACTGTGAAGCGTAGGAACAAACTTTTACTGTTCTCAGTCTTTGATTCCAATGATCAGAAATCATGCTACAACCAGCTGGTATTACACTTTCCAACGTTTCTGATATTGGACTGAGTGAAATTTTAACTTAATTTTAACCTGTAAACAATATAAATTTTAACAGTCTGGACACTGTAAAAAACCAATGTAAATCATTAGGTATTTCAGATCCGCAGATTGGAAATGTCGTAATTTGCCTAATACAATTAACTGGAAAAAAAAAAAAAAAAATACCCTTCATCACTTGGTTGTCCAAAGAAATTCTACAAGAGTTTCAAAGTGCAGAAATTTTTTTCGATTCAAATGCAAATCAGGTTGTTCAGATTCTCATGATTAGATTATTTGATGTGTAACTGCAGTTTCCCAAGACCAGTTTTCAGTGTTAAGCTGTGATAAGGCTGTTTTGAACCTTCCTTTTCCAACTTCAAACACTCTTTATAAGTTAAAGTTAATACAAATATAAAAAGGAGATGGTACTCTAACTTTAATGACATCCACAAATTGTACATTATTTACAAAAGAAGCATAGATTTAATAGGGATCTTACCTGTCCTCAGCTTTTCTAAGCCAGCGCTAATGCTTTACATTAATGTAGTGTAGTTAATGCTTTGTACACATGTACAAAGCTAAAGTCTGAACCTTTGAGGTTAATCCAAAGAACTGTGTTTATTTGTCACATTTCTATTAGATTTATTTTTTCCAACAATTGTATGGACTTCTTGTTAGCAGTTAGACTCTTCGTACTTGGACTGGCATTGTGGTCTGAACATACTGAACTCCAGTTCTCATTGCCACTGTCCCAGCAGAAGGACTTACCACTACAGGAATGGTCTGTGGATTAAAACCAAGAGAAACATACTGTTATGTTAAAGGTCACATAAACATGACCACAGAAATAGAGATTTATTTTCCAGGGAAAATCCAGAACAAGTTCCAATTTTGTGCAAGAATTAGTACCTTTATTACCGCAGTATTACCTCATTCCAGGGTAGAAAGTGGCGTGTTACTTTCCTACAGCCGAGAGCTTTTCTGTATTATTATTACTACTGTATAATTACAGGGACAGGTGGTTTGGTCCCGTAGGTACTGTACACACTCTGTCTGTGCTTGGAGTTAGGTTGGCATAGTTACACCCAGTTATGTATTTTCCCCAAACTAATACATGGGAAGAGGAAAAAGGGCTAAGAAAATCCTTTGTCATTTGAAAAAGTTTTGACAAACCAAACTGGAGTACAAAAATACCCTTGTTTATAAGTATATTCTTGTTACACATTACTTAAATCTTTTTCCCCAAAAGGAACTCCCCCATGCATTCGGTCTATACAGAAGAGAACAAAGAACATCCAGTTGAACAAAAAAGTACTTAAGTAACTTTTGCACAAATCAATAACCAAAACAGCATTACTGGGAACTGTCTTACACACCCTGTAAAAATATTAATATAGAATAAACTTTTCACTTCCATCATACAGATCATGATTTATAAATCTCAACAAGTGAAGTTTCAGGACATCTCTATAGGTGATAATTGATTCTACAGATGCAGAGACAAAGGCACAAGAATGTTAAACAATCTGGTCAAGGTCACATCACTCTGGAAGATCTGGAAAAGGATTTATTGACTCTAAAGTCTGTGTCTCAACCTTCCTCCAAAAATGTGAGAAAGTCTAGAAATGTCTATACCATACAAACTGCGAGTATGTTTTGATACCATTCCAGTGATGCACAACTGGTGATCACACAAATGCATCCATTTCAGCTCACAATATTCTGAGGAAGAAACGGGGAGGGAGATTTTGCGGGCTCTGAAAGGGATGCACAGATCCTCCCCCCAATGGCAACATGACATTCCAAAGAGAACACGGAAGAAGAAATACAAGTTCACTGAAGCCTCATGTTTCCCCACACTGTTTTAAGAAGCCACGTTAAGTGTCTTAATGGTGTTCAGCGAAGATGGTGAGTATCCCTACTGAGATGGACTACAGCTCCCCTGTGACAGTCTATGCCTCCAGAAGCCTACTCATTCCATTCCCTGGAATGCAAAGGTGATGAATTCATGTTTTTACATTATTTTAACTGCAGAAAGAATAAAAACCAAACCAATTTGCTAAATAAATTCAAGATTTCCGATGTTTTGTAATGATTTCGGATGTGTATAGAGGGTTCAGTGGAAACAGTGCCCAGAAGATACACTGGAAGTTGTTCAAAGGAAGAAATTCCTAGTTGGACACAGTGCAAACTGAACCCTGAAGTAGCAGTTACGTCACTGTTAGTAGTACAGCTGGGGAAACTGAGGTTGCCACAGTCGCCTTTTAAATATACACACTTACACAAGTGAAAAAATTAAGTTTCAGTTTTTACAGCGATCGGGATATGGAATGTGTGAGACTCCTTAAATGTGTTAAGATCATTCCCTGAGAGGTAAATTTTCCACCTCTGCCAGCTTTACACATATGTACATTTTGCATACCTAGTAAACATGCACTAAGGTTTAAAATTATTCAAATTGCACGTGCAGTCATTAGAATACAGAGGTGTCTGTAGCTGTGCAAGACTAATGCAAATGTGTACAAAGTTTTAAACATGCACAAATAAAGGCTGAAATCTTTCAGACGTTCCAGTTATGCGTCACATAACTCAATACACTTGGTATTACAGAACAACGGTGAAGGTAACTGCCATTTTTCTGAATGTTACAGAAAACCACCTTATGATCTTACAACCTCTCAGCTATTCATGAAAGAGCCTGACGTCTTTGATCTTTGCTACTTGATTTTAAAGCACGCAGAAAACCTTGTTGTTACGGTAATTCAGTCCAAGCAACTCGGGGCCAATGCTGCAAAGGTGCACAGTGCTCTCAGTTGAGACAAAATGAGTTAAAATGCTGCGAGGAATGTGAAAAGTCATGATCCCCACTAAGAGCAGTAACACTTGTGTGGAATATGCCAGCTATGACATCCTGTACGTGCGTGCGTGGACATGCGCACACGAGGCATGGATCCTGTGGTCGACGGGTGTGTGTGCGCAAGGAGAGAGAAAGAGCAACTTCGACAGCAATTTAGACCTCACAGTCACAGTGTGATGAGTACACTGCTAAATTAGTAATGAGTTACTGTTACAAATTACCGAGCTGCAGTCAGAAAGTGAACTGAAGCTATCCACACGTGGGCTTCTCTGTTGAACCCCCCCCAGAGGCAGAGCGTGCCGTTCAGTGACCAGTGCAGCATCAGCATCTTTCTTTTTGGTAAGAAGAGGGTCAGCTCCGATGCCATGCTGACTCTGAAGTGAGCGCTGCAGAACATGACCAGTTGAAAGAATGGGATATTACGGTGCATAAGATACAAAAATCAAACTCACTTCTGTCCCATCCCCTGTGACTGACACCAGGGAACTCAAGTGGCCTTGGTTAAGTCTTCGATGGAAAAAACCAGGTCTGATTCTCGTAATTTCCTAACGCTAATGTGCAAGGCTGCATGGGAGATACACTACTGATGAATGCCTATTTTCTTTCATAGTTACTGAGATGTCACAGGAATATCAAGCATAGCTCAGAATTAATTAAATCTCTTTAGGATACCATAGACAAAAAGATATTTAAAAGATATTTAAAATGAATTCTATATATTTACATTGGCGTTGTGGTCAAGTATATACATGAAACAGACAAATAACTAACATATAATGTAAAGTGGAAGTCTGACTGTCCTCAGTGCCTTCGCTATACTTAATGAGTTTCTGAATCCTTGTAGTAACGAATGATGAAATGAAAGGGTGGAATGTTGCACAGCAAAATAAGACATTTTGCACTGCAAGTTGAGACTATACCAGTGAATTCATATCTTGATAGAACAGCAGACGGAGACATCCCCCCAGAAATACTGAGCAATTTTAATGCCAGGAACAGTACTACTGCAGACTTTAAATGATGATATTGTACTTACAATTGTGGGTTGAGTAGTTGGAATATAGGTGGTGGTCTGCGGTACCTGGACCAGATTTATAGGCTGGTTGCTTGTCACACCTGTTGCTATCTGCAGAGACAGCACAGGCAACCTCAGTAGAAGTCTCAGCTTTTACATGAATTCCACCTAGTTGTTGTTATTATTGTTATAATATGAAATTTATGTTGGATGTTTTGGTTGTGTTAAAAATTTGCATCTTAATGAATTCACAGGTTACTTCCTTGTTAATAAAACAAAATTCAAATTATGAACATGATCAATGTATACAGCATGATGTTTCAGGTAGAACATCTATGTGAAAGCAATTCCAGATTTGTAAAACTGGAATATTCCTTGGCAAAAAATTTATGTAATTTATTTTCTCCCATCCCCTATTTCCCCAGTAATACAAAGTTGTGCTGCCACAAACAATGCGTATGAACATCGACCGAGCCAGAGTTTAACTTCACCAAAGCATTCCTGTGGAACAGCACATCCTTTTTCCCCTCTTCAAATCTGTTTCCCAAGTTACTCCCTTAGATGACATGTCAAGCCCAGAGATCTAACACCAGACAGTAGCAAAAGTGTCAAGAAATGAACACAGCTCTCTAGTTTACTATGCTTCCCAATTCTATAGCACTATCTCAATGAGACATCATGCTGGAATCACAATACTACAAAATTAGTTTGCTTTTAATATTTTAAAATACAACAAGGCTCCTACTGATGTGGAGGATCATGTCTATGGGTTTGAAAGATTGGCCCCCCCCCCCCCTAAAATTTTTCATTTAATAAATCTTGCAAGGGCAGAAGAAAAACGATGCTGAAATTGCTAATAGTCAAGCCCTACCTATAAAGCAGAATCTTCTCTATAAACATTTTCTATATATGCAATGTTAAGTCCCTTTTATTAGAGCATTTGCTCATCCTTGCCTACTGAATGCTATCAGAGTAGATGCTATGGAGGATTTCGTAACTGCGCACTGCTCCGTTAACTGTAGATCCAGGTGAATTGTTGTATCAGTGTTATGGAACATTGTGGTACCCTAGTGGCAGTCTGTTGTGATAAAGTAAGTTGATTTGAATGCAGGTCTTGAGCTTGGCCTCTGAACCCCCAGGCAAGAAGGGCTTGGAAGTGCTGCGGTCAGTATTGCTTATCAGAAGGCAACTTGTATCGAAAGATCCAGACCAGAAGCTACACTGATGGGTCCTGGAGAGAGAGAGAGAAAGAGGTCCAGTCCCCTTTGGCTGGAAGGATGAGTCAAGCCAACATAAGGTTTTATTGGGAATGAGTGAAGGGGAAAGGGTGTTCCCAGAGGACAGAAGGATACTTTTTTGCCAAGATGAAGAAAAAAACCCAACAAAACCACAACTCCCTATCTCACTCCCCAAATCACACTCTTTGAAATATGCAAATGGTCATAAATTCCTGGCTGATCCAGGGAAGCCTTTAGGGATACGTTTCAGAGAAATCTTACGTATTATTTTTGTTTGAAGTGACCACAATGATACTCACTGTAACACTCTCTTTGCTTTTGTCAGCTGAACCTTCCTTTTCCTTAGGGGTGCTGGCTGTTTCTGTGGGTGTAGGCTGCACACTTGAACTGGGCTGGGATGATTTATTTAATGTTTCTGTGCTAATTTCAGTATCTGTTTCTTGCTGTGTTGCAGTAGCTAAAATAAAGGGAGAAAAAAAGAAAGTAACCACTACTCGTGTGTGCCAGTCCACAGTCACTCTTCACAAGCCCACCTGCCCCCACACAAGTGAAGAATATAGAGTCACCCTCACCCCCCCAGCTGTGAGCAGGCAACCCAGAGCAAGATTACCTGACTGTGTGCAAGATTTCATATGCTCGGGCCAGTGAGCTTGTTGGCAGGGATAGTCACAGTAGCTAGTATTCCAACAGCAATAAAAAATGGCCTCTTTCTTGCAGTTAGCACACCACTGCTTCTTTTTAGTTTCATCCACTGCTTGCTGCTTTTCCAATTCTAGCTGCTTCTTCACCTCAGCAATCAAACGATCTCGTTCTTGTTCTAGACTCTGACGCATTTCAGCCATTGTCAGTTCTACTCAAAAGGCAAAGAAAGATCATTTTTGTGCTTTCTGCCCCCCAACAGCAAGGTGCAAAGCAACAATTTTCATGAGTTTAAAGACAACATGAAAATAAAACTAACAATCAAAATATTCCCTGAGTTCAGGCATCTCTGTTGCATTAAACAAATGAAAGTCTTCCATCTTCTTTTCTTATTCTGGCACCATGATTTTTACCCTTGTTTGACACTTCAGTTCTAGATGTCCCACAAAGATCAGAATCCAGGTGTATTAGGTGCAGCACACACACAGAAAAAGGATGTATGCCGCTGCTGCTAACATACTTTGTCTTTACAAGCCCAAACTACTGTTCTGCTCCAACATTCAGAAAATACAGAGAATTATATTTCTTCTCATCTCATAAATAAGTAACAGCGAATCAACTGTTCATTTATCTTGGTTTCTTTACAAAGAAAAACATGAAAGTTCTAAGAGGGACACTGACAAAGTTGTAAATACTCATCACTAAGTGAATAAAGCTGTAAATTTGAGCCTTACTTCAGGATTGTTCTGAGAGCCACCCACTATTAATGCAATTATAAATTGATACCTGAGCCAGCATGAGTTAGTAAGAGGAAAGAGTTTGACAGAATCTTCAAGAAAATACAAATAAAGCATTCTGATTCCAGCCACTGTGACTCAGGATCAATCTTTTGAGTCTTCTGAAAAACTCTGAAGCTGACATACTTTCAAAAGACCATCAAAGGCGTTTGTTTAAATTGGTAGCTTAAGACTTTGACCAAGGCGTTAAAGGATTTTTCTGTTGTCTCTGAGCACACCTAGATGTTTGGTTCTGTGAGTTGCAGGCGAGCTGTTGGCATACCCAAGTAATTCTGAAGAATGCTATAACTGGACTGCAGCAGTGGAAAAACTGGTCTACCCTGATTTGAAAGAGCAAAATGTTACTAACAAACCAAAGACATGAGTCTGAATATGGAGTTATTCAGCCCTTAATTCACTCAGATTCCAGATGCGCTGTGCAAAAAGAGTCAAAAAGTGGATGGGGACACTGTATCACGCAGTCCTGTTTGGACTGCATGTAGCTTAAAGGAGACTTGATCAGGCAATTGCAACTTTCTTCCCACAGTCAGTGCATTAAAAAGGATAATTAAAAGAAATCACATTTTAATCATGGTTTTATTTCCTGCCCACATGGTTGAGTGAATGTAGAGATGAAAATCCCCCTTCTAGGAGGAATATTCTTTTATCTGTTTTAGGTAATATTTTACTTTATTTCACTGGCAGTCTGGCACCAAGATTGAGTCAAGTTGTCTATTCACTTTAAACAAACAAATAAACATGCACACCAACAGCTGATCTGAACCAAAATGTCAGCTAACATCAACAAAGATACCAGAGGAAGCAGGTTCCCGCAGTGGCTATATTGACAGAACCTGGTTCTTCTGAGAATTAGTATGAAATAATCAGGATAAAATATCTAATGAAGAGGGATTATCTAATGAAGCATAAAAGAAACAGTTATTCTGTCCTATCAAAAGCTCTCTTTAGCATAAACTTGTCTCAGAGGGCTGAATACCTGTTGTTTACCATGCACAGATAAAGTAACTTAATGTACATACTCAAAAGGTATCTGCTAACATCAGCACAGCACATTATAAAAGGTTTTTTATCCTTCACTTGGACAATTTGCAGTATCATATGATGAAGGTAATCCAAATGTTTGTAGTATGTATTTCATATTCAGGACAAAACCTGACACACTATTTGGACTGCCATTTTCATACCTAGATTATGCTTCATTTCTGAGAGCTCCTGTTGATGTAACCATTGAAGTTTTTCTATCTCAATCCTCAAACGTCGGATCTAAATATTAAAAATGTAATAGTTAGTGCTAATAAACAGGGTATAATATGTAATTATTATACAGAAAAACATGCCCAAAGCAGAGAGCCTGATTATCACTTACATCAAAGCTCCTTCATATTAACATGAGGACAAGACCATAGTAAACCCTAAACCAAAGTCTGAGTACTTGTTTGCTAGGCTTAGCATAAAAAGTGCCGGATTGTTTGAAAACAAAAAGCACTTCTATTAAACTTGCTCTTGCTTCCTCTGAAATTAGTCGAGTCTCAAATTTCTCTGACTGGAATCAAAAACCTATTCCTCAGTTTTGTATCCATTTCTTAGTATGACATTTCATTTATTTTGTTGTCTTTTTAACTGCATGAGGCTTAGGAAAGCAAGTTTTTCATTTACTGTGGATTGGGAATACAAATATCGCTCAAAATGGTGACTTCCTTATTTTGGTTAAAACAAGCAAATGAGTCATCACACTTTTAACTCTAAGCATTACTTATTCACATTCGTACTTAGTTTACACTGCTTGATCTGCTTCTTCCAAGTTTAAAGAAAACACTTAGAAGATACTAAGGTCTACCTTTGGAGACAATTAAAAGCAATATATAGAATTCCATAAAAAATGCAAAAAGTATTAAAGTATTTTTTTAAAAACATTAAAAACTATGGTCATAATCACATAACTGGAATAAGCTACTGCACTTGAAGTAAATTAAAATCTTCCTCTGGTGGACAAATACATGGTTTAAAAAACAATACTTTCAAAAAAAGGACTTAATTTCTGATTTTAAACAAGGTGACACAAAATTAAATCCTCAACAGAAGCTTTAAGGATCTCGGCTTGATGGCTTACTACTTCTCTTCTAGAGCCCATCTGATATTTTTTCAGGGTGTTTCTCCACCACTCTAATCTTTACTGCTAAAACAGCACAGAAATTAGGATCTCTATAGAGTCTCAATACATAATACTTTGTAGGTATAGTTATATGGTACTTTTGCATATAAAAATACTATTTTGCAACTTTCAAAGTTAAAATACAAGCACTATTATTTATTTTTTAATCTTACACTGACCTCAGCTATTGTACTTCCAGTAGTATTTTTTGAAAGATCATTATATATTTCAGTCATTGTTCCTTTGATGGCATCCATCATCTGAAAAACAAAAAGAAGAAAAAAAAATTGTTATGTATTTTTAATAGATACCCGCTTTCACTTCCTTTCAACTGCTCTAATGTGAACTTGTATTTACTATCAACAGTGCTCCATCTCTCTCTCTGTATTTATCTGGATCTGCTTTTGGAGGACTTTTTGGAAGATAGAACACAACATTTTTGACCAGGACTCTGATTTTTAAGTGTCCTGAACTAGTGAACTGCTTGACGTTCTACTTTTCTGAGGAATTGCCAATTTATGAACAAAAAAACATATAATCATGAGTTTGGGGAAGAAATTAAATACAAAAAAAAAAAAAATTGCGAGACAGACATTCACTGGCATTGCTGGCCACTGACAATCCCACCAAGACCGTATCGTTGAGTGAGAACACTGAAAGTTGACAGTCAAGATGAATTCTGATGCTTTCAATGCCTGGGTACTCAACTGTATTTCCTTGTATAGTATTCACCTTGATTTTTTTATTTAAAGATGTAAGAGAGTATATGAAAAGCTGATATCCCATCCCTCACTGTCGCAATTACGATACAAGTATTACATCACATCTTCTCTTTAACAACTTAGCTTCTGTTTTAATACACGAATACACACTCATGACAAGTTATCATCTGATGAAGCTACACAGTGTTTTAAAACAAAGTACATTTTTGTGTATGTATTACTGGACACAGATGAAGAAATATTAGTGTTTTCTGTAAATATGATGCCGAGAGGATACCTACACCTTTAGGAGAAAACACAGAAAATTGTCAAAACCACAATGCAACGTAAACGAGAAGCAGCAATGGGGGGATGTGAGAAGGAAAGGGTCTAAAGTGTCTGAGCAGCTGAAGCCTGTCATATACACACTATGGCTTGGAATGGCAGCATTCAGCCAGCTCTAAAGAGGTGGTTCAGCACTCTTGTCAAAATCTAGGTGTTCCTACCTAGTAGGATGAATTTACAACACGTGACAACCTGAAAATAAAGTTATTTCAGAATTTGAAATGTCAAAAATGTGAAAGTTCACTTCAAAATACGATTTCAAGGAAACCTTGCTCAAGAACTTACTTTGCTAGTATATTTAGCAATATCTGCAGCCACATCAGCTGAAGCTGTTGCAATTGGCAAGTCTGTATTAACTGAGGAAGAAAGCGTACTTGCAGATCCAGAACTGGTGACCATAGATATAGGTTGAGTACTTGTAACCAAGGTTATAGTGGATGTGGAAGTGCTCTGGGTGATTTCTTTTTGCTGCACAGCTAAGAAAAGAGAACATACAGCAGATCAATCACATAAACAATTACAAAAATAATTAGGCAAACTTCTAAATTTAAGGTCTAACTTAAATGTGTGCACCTACACATTTCAAAGACATTGTTTATACAACGGTGCCATTTAGTCAATTCATCGTACAGTGCCGAGCCACTGAACTTGTACATAATTGTAAGGCTTAAAGGTAGTGAAGCAAATATCTCTTTGAGACTTATTTTTTCAGACTGGCCAATGCAAAAGTCTCCCTCAGATCTGTATTTCTCCCGTTTGGGACTCTTCCATCCCACTTCCTAGGAAATCACCTCCTAACCTCTCAATTTGGAGAATTCCCAACTAACATCATACGTATGAGCGTAAGTCAGCGTTTGACATTTTCATTTGCCATAATTCTAAAACATATTATTGAATTTCTTTTCTCTTTGTTTTGAAACAAGGTTTAGTGAGCCCCTGATGAAGAAAGCCTACTTTAGTAATACTTCCTGGTGTTATTTCCATGCTTTTGTTATTAACCCTACTAATGATGATGACTGTCACTACATGTTTAATATACATATATTCAGATCAACATTAGCCTTTGGTTAGCTGCAGAGCAAGGAATGCAACATTAGATTAACTCATGTAAGCAAAGAAGGTATTCATAGTGTTAACTCAAACCGGATAAGAAAAGTTTTCTCATTTTTGGTCAATACTTCAAATAATCTTAAACACTGGGTAATTAAAAAAATGAGAGTACAAATCAAAATGCAAAGACCCTCACCTTTTCATCTCTAATAACTTATCTGCCTTAAATATTTTTAAAAAAATTTTTTTTAGGACAATACTTTTCAATCTATTTTTAACGATTCAATATTATAAAAGATGTCTTCATTGCCAATATCCTCAAAAAAGGAATTACTGAAATAAAAAAGTTGGTCATATTTATCTCTATGTACTATATTTTTTGTTTATGCAAATTCAGTATATAAGAAATTTACAGATTTTATAGTTTTCATTTGATGTGTTTCTAGAATATAATATTTAAGATGGAACATTGCTGATGCGCTCAATAGTAAATGTATTGATAAGACAAACTTATAGGCTGAACATTTAAAATTTGACCCTTATTACTAAGCTCTTATATTAAAGCATGATTCTCTTGAAAATAAGACTTCACCAAGTTTCACTTTATTTTTCCTCAGTGATTTTTTCTGTATCAAATTTGTGCAGTCCACAAGTAGAAAGATACTGCATCTTCAACAATTCTTAAATGACAGTCACAAAAGCAGTTTAGGGCCAGAAAAATGTGCCTCTGGTAAACGTTTGTACGTGACCCCTCACCTAAACTTCACTCCTGTATGAACTTACTGGCTTGCCAGCAGCGTTAGCAGAATGGAGCGTATCTATTCATCAGGCACATCAGTAAACAGTTCAGTTTATTAACTGGAAATTACAAATGAAGCTAGATTTACATAAAGTTGCTGTTCTGTGAAGTAAAGCAATAGAAGCATGGGCTTATATTACCACTGCCTACTACTAGCAAACCCTCCAACAAAAGGATGGTAAGAAAATAGCTGTGAAAACATTCTGAAATGCCATCGCTGTTTGCTCAATAAACTAGCATCAAAGTCTTGTTAAGAGTTAAGCAATGGGGATTTCAAAGACAAATGTAGCCTCGGTAATTTCATGGTTGTCAAATTATACTCCATGAAAGACGGTACAGATCAGCTTCCTGTCAGATAAAACTGGATCCAGTTTGTAGATAATCGAGGCAACAGTGGTAACCATGCAATTGGAATGGTCTTATCATAGAATTCTGCTGGTTTGGGCTGGGATAGTTAATTTTCTTCATAGTAGCATGTATGGGGCTATGGTTTGGATTTGTGCTGGAAACAGTGTTGATAACACAGGGATGTTTTCGTTATTGCTGAGCAGTGCTTACGCAGAGCCAAGGCCTTCTCTGCTTCTCACCCCACCCCACCGCCGAGGAGGCTGGGGGTGCACAAGGAGTTGGGAGGGGACACAGCCGGGACAGCTGACCCCAACTGACCAAAGGGATATTCCAGACCATATGATGTCATGCTCAGCATATAAAGATGGGGAAAAAGGAGGAAGGGGGATATGTTTGGAGTGATGGCATTTGACTTGCCAAGTCACCTTTACAAATGATGGAGCCCTGCTTTCCTGGAGATGGCTGCACACCTGCCTGCTGGTGGGAAGTGGGCAATCAGCTCCTTGTTTTGCTTTGCTGGTGTGCACGGCTTTTGCTCTGCCTATTAAACCGCCTTTATCTCAACCCACGAGTTTTCTCACTTTCCCCATTCCACAGGAAGGGGGGATGAGTGAGCAGCTGGGTGGTGCTTAGTTGCCTGCTGGGGTTAAACCACAACAATAATCTAGAAAATAATTTGGTTCATTCTCCCAAATCTGTGATAGCTAAGAATGGAAAAATATTTATACCAATACACACACAAACTTTTTGTCATTAAAATAAGGAGACAAGGCTCTAAATACACACCAGAAAGAGCAGGTATGCTGAGTAAGCTGTTGTATTTTAAAGTCACTTATCAGAGTTGAACCACACTTTGAGATTTTGTTTATATGGAAGAACTCCTGGTTGGGCACTTGGAGCACCGAGATCACTACTGGGGAATTATGGCATCACAGGCACATTGAGTTAGAAAGCATGTACCTTTAACTGCTTGTCTTGTCTGATATCTTGTCCCTTGAGAGGACTGAGGTTGCTGTGACTGAGACTGCTGGCTCTGCTGCTGTTGCTGCTGTCTCTGCACCTTCTGCATGTGCCATTTCTGAGAAGATGTCTGAAATTTATTTGAAGAATTCCACACTACACGCTGCACAGCAGGGGGAGTTTCCTTAGGCAGCAGAGGCCTCTGCTTTTTCACAGGGCTTCCAGTGGCTGCAGATGGAGCACTAACAGTAGAAGAAGCACTAGTAGTTGCTGTCACACCAGCTGGTGGAGTCTGGGCTGAAGAGCGGGTAAGTACTGGAGTTTCTGGTAGAGACTGGGTGCTTGCACTGGAGGAAGGTGGCGTTTTACCTATGACTAAACAAACATAAAATGTAGTGCCAGCTTTTCACCAAAACATCTGATTCATAACTGCCCATCTAATTTTTGGAAGAGCCATATGCACTTCCCAGTCTACTTTGAATTATTTTCCTCAAAAGGTAATTGATATTGTACAAGCAAACTCATTTCAGTCTAGGTGAATTTGGCGGCAATTCAGCAGCGCCAGTCACTAAGCAAAAACAAAACAAAAAGTACAAAACACAGAAAAACCAGCCTGACCTCCTTCAGAAACTATGTGAGAGGTTAGCATTTGTTAGGGTGTTCTGGGTTACCACTTACACCTCTCATCCCAGTTTCTTTCAGGAGAAAAATACATTCAAAAGGAACAATGAACAATAACTGAAGGAATAGCATAGTAAAAACTCTAAACACAGGTAACCTGGCACTGACAACCAAACATACAGCATATTTAAGATATCTATGTTTACTTGAAAACCTTCCAGAGTTTACAGTTGACTGTTCCACATATCAGATCAGTTTAGGAACTGGATGACTCTTCCAAAGCTGTGGCTGGGAAAAACACGTCTGAGAGAGAAGGCTGCTACACTGACGGGTTTCTGGAAAGGGGGCAAAGACTTTCAGATTTGCATGCATCAGATCTTTTTTCTGGACAAAGGCATTTCAATATTTCATAGCCAAGATTAAAGGTAGGGGCCTTGGAACCATGGACAGGACAGAAATTATGTCTAGAATATATTCATATAAGTGTCTCCCTCTATACGTGAAAATTTAAATCCAGTTTTAATTTCACCCAGAATATGCATTATTCTTTTGCCTCTGTATCAAATTAAAATTTTAAGTTTACCTATTATTTCAACCATCACTGGTTTAGGCCACTAATAATACATGAATCAGTAGCTCCCTTGCTTAATAATTTTTTAAATAAACCAAGTCAATATAAACTCCAAACTCACAATTCCGGTTTTAGTTTATAACCAGTTTTCTGATTATCTCAAAATAAAACATTTATCCATTAAATGCTCTTTCAGATTCAAAATACAGAAGCATCGTCTTGTAAAGTATGCTTAGTTGATAGACTGAAAACATTTCAAATAAAACTATTGAGCCAACATGCTATAAAATATAGACAAGAAGAGAACGTTATATGAAGAATAAAATATTTTTCAATTTAACCATTTAGATCTGGTTTTCCATATTGTTGTGTCAAAAGGCTAACAAGCAGAACAAGCTTTACAAAAGCACTTCACTCATTGAGATTGCTTTCCTCTTTTAGCAACACGTAGGAACAAAGGACAATCTCTCAGGGACAATACATGTGATTTAGCTGTTCTTTTGGTTATTACTGAGACCATTTACATTAATTTCAATGGGACCTTATGCAATTTGTTTGTTTGATAAGTTCCAACTTCTATATCTGCACTTTTGGGAGGTCTATGGAAATGTAAATATTCAACTGAAAGTCATAACAATTGCAAAATAAATTCTACATTTGTCACGGAACAGATATTATGGGTAGTCATAGTTCTATGATACTGAAAAGAAACTCAACATAACATCTTTTATTTAAACCAGAAACCATAATGGGGAGTGAAAACTTTTTTTGTAGTCACAATGAATGTAAAATCATTTGTAAAAATTGTTTTAGTACAGATATTTTTGTCTTAATGCAAAAACAAAGGTAGCAAGTCTGGCTTCGATAAAAGTCCTACAGAACAGAACAAAAAAAAAAAAGAAGGAAATAATTTCATCCTACCATCTTGTTTAGGAGGAGGTTCTTTAGATTCTTTCTTGCTTTTCCTTCCTTCACGGCCACAATGGTCATCTCCTAGATCGATGACAAGTTCACTCTCCGAATCAGAGTCCAGTCCTAGATGCACAGTTGGAGAGTCTGTTTCATCTTTACCTTTCAGTTTTTCTTTTGCAGGATGCTGTAAACTTTTTCCCTTTTCAGAAAATTCTTTTTCAGTGTCTGTAATTGCCTTTTCTTTGACCAGGTCATCTGTTTTCTCCATTTCTGGACTTGTGCTTTTAAGTTCCTCCTTGTCTTCATTCTGTGCTGGGGGCTTAGGTTTTTTTTTCAAGCTCAATGATTCTTTGTCACTTCTTGTACCTTCCTTGTCGTCTCCATCTTCTTGATCATTCTTTGATTTCTGATCCTCATCGCTGTATTCACTGTCACTGGTGTCAGATTTTTCAGAATCTTCAGAGTCACTGTGTTCTACTGCAGTATAAACAGCTTCAGATATTTCATTTATTCCTAATTGTGGGGAGGAAAGTACATTCCATGCTGACATCAGACTGACTGGCATCACCAAAAAAAATGCTCTATATACTGGAACATAGTGCATACATACCATCATCTTAACTGCCAGCCCTTAAGCTATAAACACTTCCCTTAGTGCCCTATCTCAATACCAGAAGGTATAAGAGTTACCTTTCACATATTCCAATTCATATTTTTATTTCATTAAGTGGCCCTCTTTTCACTGCCTTTTTCCACTACCTGCAAGCTGTTTTGTTCAACTCAGGGCACAATGCTGGCAAATACAAAGAGGAATTATTTTTATCCACAAGAAACCACCTTAAAATCAATGACACTACTCAACTGATTAAAGTTACTTACATGCACATTTGCAGAATCAGTTTTAGACTGCGTAAGTTTTGCAAGGAGAAGCTCTAATATTTTAGTGTCTGGCACTTAACTTGAACACGTTCTAGACCACACGTTCTAGCAGCATTCAGCTCCTGTGTGACTGGGTACACTAATTTGTGCATCTGATGTAAGTTAGGTACAATTATTGAAGTTTTCAATTTACAGATCAAATATTAAGACTATAATTCTGTCATACTATCTACATCAGAATGGTAAAAACACCACCACCACCCCCCCCAAAAATTAAAGCTTTTTGACAAAAATTCGAAAAATCAGGTCTCATTGTATTTTAAATTAAACTAGTTCAGTGCATTCTACTTGCCTCAAAGAGTTCAATTATCCTCTACGCTTGTTTCACTGTATAAAATATTTAAGTTTTTACTATTCGAAAACTTCTTTTAAACTCCAATTCAAAGTTCCCTTAAGTGTATCCTTCAGATGTCCATTGTATTCTTGAGATATACTTACCAAGTTGTGCTTTACAGCTCTCTATTGTCTTGTCAAGATTAAGCTGGAACCTACTACGTATCTGTCGTTTTGGTGAAATGAGTTGCACAGGAGTGGTCTGCTGTTGGACTGACTCACTCAACTCTTTTAGATCCATCTCAGCTTTGCTACGATCTAGAAAAAGAAAAGGAACTAAGAAAAATACTTTACGAAAAGAAGAGAGATCACTATTCAGCTAGATAAATTTTACTGAGTAACAATGCAGACAATCTGAAACACGTTTCACTTCTTTCATAATTATGGGCTAAAAAAATAACTCTTAAAGTGACTTTACTACAAACAAGGGATTCTTCCTCTCTGATACTACATATTTCACATGCAAAATGCATGTATCAATTATGTGGATGTTTTTCTCTGTCAGTGTGAAATTATCATGAAATCATCATTCAGGTCTGTAAGCTGTCTGATGGCACTTCTACTAAGATACTGCTCTTATTTACTACTAGTATTTATATTTTCACAGAGAAAATTAAATAGCAATATAATTCCTTATAGTCACCATTTAAAATTAAAAGATAATTCATGAGAATAGAAATAAAAATGAGGATTGTTACACTAGATAGATTAATAAACTTAATAAATTTTTCAATGTATATCAGCAAAATCTTCTCAAGTTCTCCTATACATGTAGAGAATTTTCAATCTGAAACATACAGCTCTGTCTGGAAACAGTACAGACTACAGTGCTAAAGCTAAAACTGTCTTAGCAACTTAGTTTCACATTTTTACTTCAGTTTTTCAATTTCAGATGTTGTATTTCTGTAGCATAGTCCTGTCCTCTACTCTTTGCCAACAGTGCTGACGCTCGGGGCACTAAACCAGTGTGGAGTTAGGCACTTGTTTGGGGGAGGTGGAAGGGGACATGAAGAAGGGAGAAGGAATGAAGAATTAGGTTTGGCCAGTTTAGCTCCTTGAACTGGCTCATGGTAAGATCAAAAGAGCCAATGCTATATGCTGGAAAAGGAGAGAGGCTGCAAAGAAGACAAAAGGCAACACTGGCACAACGTGTTTCATTTTTGTGCTTCATTTAGAGTTTCATTCCACAGCATTAAAGATGTCACTGTATTGCCTTATTTTAATTTAAAATTAAAAAAACCCAACATGTATTTACAAGATGTTTCAAGTTGATGTGCAGCTCAGAAAAGTGAAATAAATACAAAGGCTGAGACAATGATTCCTCTGACCAGATATTCTTTACAAGTTTGAACTTAATATCAAGGTCCACATTTAAAACATAAGAGCCATAGTACATAATGACTCAACTTCAGCAGTACAGTTTTCTCAATCAGGCTTGGCCACTATCTCCTATCAGGTTGCAAATAGAATCTATACTACAGATAAGAGCAGGTACAGAAGGAACCATTCAAGTATTCATGCAGTTTTTGTTTACTGTTAAAACAGCAGTTCCTCATCTCTTCCTAGAGAGAGGCAGCAGCTTGTGTGGTGCAATCCCACAAGCCAAATATACAGGCTATAATTTGGATCATTCTGGCTTGCAATATATGTGCATTTGAGCATGCACAAATTCAGTCTAAATAAAATTCATTTGTCCTTTCTAGTCCCAGAGAAATGGTCATAGAAGTAATACTGAATTTCACATCCTCATATCACATACTCATACTGGAAGAGACTAAACATAATATAAATTCTATCAACTTATGTGCAGTGTAAATTTTGAAAATAAAAATGAAGGTTCTAAGTCACTTAAGTACTTCTGAAAAATTTGTTCCTTGTATTTGAAATGTTTACTAAATTAGGTTTCTTCTTCCTGTGCTAGTAACTATGTCACCCAATCCAATAATGGTTATATGACCCCTAGTACAGAATTTGATTCAAGGCCTTCATAGCCTTAGTTAACTACATGGCAGGAAACAAACAGAAGGAAAAATGGAGAACGGAGGAAGATGAAGATGAGACACTGTAGTAACTCCCCAGGGAACCTTATATCCTAATATATGAAAGAAGTCTTGCAATCCAAATTTCCCTATCTAACTTACAAGGAGGTCTCACTTATCTGGATTTCAAATCTGTCTCATTAATGTCAAAATATTAGTAAAAAGAAAACAGAGCCAAAGGGTAGACAAGCCCATTGCAGAGAAATCTTCAAGTTGTCATCTCCAAAGTCTCTACTTTTTCTCATTTTCACTCCTTACTTGGTCAAACTTGTTGTTCTACCTTTTCTGCCTCTGTTATACAAGGACAGTTCCTATATTGTCAGGAAAATGTATTTTTCCCAAGCAATCTGTGTACAGCTTGGTCATTCACGCCTCCATTTTCCAATTTAGCCAGTCTGCCAGTAACAACCGATGGCTCGTTTCCATCATTTTTCCTTCCTTATTGCTGAATTGGAGGACAATCATAGAATCCACCTAGTGCTCTGCTCAAGGTACATAAGTGTCTTTGTTTTCTGGACTTTCACTTTTGTTTTTTCAGAGAGACACACCCTGTTCACATTATGTCTGAAAACTGTGTGATTCACAGATGAATCTAGGTCTGGCACAGCTGACACTACTAAATGAGAAAGAGTTGCCATTTTCATTCCTATCACCAAAGAGTATGTTTAGCAAAGGAAACTTCCCTAAAGCTGAAAAAATAACTAAAATTCTACTTGAAAGCATAGTAGCTGTTCTTTTATGGTATTGCCCATAGACCGTAACATCAGATTTTCTGATCCACACTATTTTTTCAAAATATTCTGGGCTCTAACTGATGTCTCCCATCTGTGGCTCAAACAACTGCAGCACTACATGGTTCTTAACAGTTTTCCGAATGCATTGTCACCTCAGATAAGAGGACAAGCTGCAGTGCAGCAGCAGAAATTAATTCTATGGTTATGTCCACACAGATAGATTAACACACTAAAGGTATTTGTGAGCTTGTATCTGGAATCACAATATCTGTAACTCGCTGAAAACATTAATTCAGCATTTGAGCTCAAGCCTTCCGAAACATTTGGCTAACAGCAAAAGGCAGAATCCTGTTTCTCCACATAATATCACATGGAGGTAAAGAGTAGCCAGATCCGAATCAGAATACTCACAGGAACAAAGCATGACTGAGGAAACTGATTTACATCCATTTGGCTTTCAGAACCATTTTACCAACTTTGTACTTACCTACTCAACCTTTCAAAATTCCACAATCCCAAAATTTACTTCTAGGGAGTTTCAAGATATCTGCTAATTCCTTTCATCCATCTGTCTCCCTAGAGAGGGATGGTCAGTGAGGAGGTGATGTGAAGACAGCAAGAGAGAAGAAGCCCTAGTAAATCCTAAATCCTAAAGACTACGAGAAAACCTTGCCAGCAATTCACTTGAGAGACTGAGGAGTGACGAGCAGCAATGTTCGTGTAATTACAACCGTTAGAAGCTTACCTACTGTTTAGAAACATTGGTTTGTACAGTTCAGCTCAGAGAAAAAAAAAAAAGAAAAAAAACCCAACCTTTAACTACTTCCTTTTATCAAGAAGCAGAAACAATAACAGGAACTTTTATTTATGAAACAAAAAAAGAATAGCATATTTGATGCAACAATAATTACACACTGACTCATTTAAAGCCCTTTGTTCACTTAAAGCCACATACGAGCAAGTTTGTTCATATGTTGCATTGACAACACTGTAATTTATTCAGCCGTAACAGTATTAGGTTTTCAAAGGTCAAGACTAACCAAGATTAAGATTCAGAATGCTTCCTGGAGTGGAAGTTCTTTCTTGCTTAGCAGAAATTGGCGTTGATGCTTGAGGAGAGAAAGGTTTGGGGCTGCCTGACAAGCTCCCTGTTTGATTTGTTCTTGTTGGAGCTGGAGAAGCTGCAAAAGTACAAAATTGATAAAGACAGATTTAAAAATATTCACAATAAAGCCATATTCACTGGCACAAAACAGTGGTTAAACCTGCCCAAGCAGAGAAAGAATTCTTGTTGAATCATTTCAACACTGTGTTATACCTCCATTATAAGTTACAACTATCTCTTTAATTTTAGTTTAATAAAGAAAGAAATTGTAAGGAAAATAATTTCATTGCAACCATATAGTTGGGCCACGTGTGCTCACCCTCAAAATCACTCTGCAGTGACAGAAAGTTTCTAGCTTTCAAGATTCGGTTGCTTTAGATGTTCACAAATTCTGACACTCTAAATTGCTATCTATTCTAACTCATGTATGTAAGTAAGCACAGAAAACCCCACCTACCCCATTTTCTAGCTACATTGACAGAGAATTGAAAGTACAAATCATAGTAAGTTTAACCAGTACAGCTGGAGATCAGTGACCAAATGTCTCTGACAGGGTAACAGAACATTCTAATTTTACAGCATTTAGGCAGAATCTGTGCTCTGAGCCTTTAAAAACTCCATGAAATAATATTCAAAACCAAACTTCTGGATACAGCCAAACAGTTTAGAAAAGGAAGCATCTGCAGGCCATTACAGAAAAAAAAAAAAAAAAAGGGACTAATTTTTGTCAGCAAGAGATTAATTTCTATCTGTTAAATCTCTGCCTAATGCTCTGAAAATGTCATCCTAAACTGACTGCTGGACACTTTTTCTTCCTCAGTGCATCCAGGTCCATCTATATATTTTCAGATTCCTAAACGCGAGCAATACCTGCTGTTTCAGTAACTGTTCCCAAGTTATTGTCTACACATCACTCAAAATACACAACAAAGGCATCCAAATAAAAACTTCTTGTCTAAGGATAGTGCAGTCATACTACTTAAACTATTTTTTACAGCAAACAAGTAATTTCATCACACATGGATTGAACCACACAGATTCCAGTAATGACAGCTAAGTTTATACATAAAGTAAATACTACAAAAGTTAGCACTTGTCACAATATACGGGTAGAAATGCCAGGTGGGAAACTGAATATTCTAGTTTATCTGCTGTTAAATCCAATCCAGCATTCCCATGCACTAGGATAGAAGATAGTAAGGCTTGAGGAAAAGTTAGATAAAAACTCCCCAGAATTGCTATGATAATCAAGAATCCAGAGTAACAGGATAACATCTGTTGTCTTCTTTTATCTGACAAAATAGCTTTAATTTGATTTTTGATTATCTCCATTACTATAATGAAATAATAATGCGGTATAATAAAAGCTCTATATTTTAAAACACAAACCAGTACCTGTTAGCTACACCTTACGTATAAAAGCTGTACACACATATATACCTGATAATTCACGTATAAAATAAATTATTCCTTTTGAACATGTTACTCTACTGAAAAATCCAAGTATTTTCATATATTCAAAACAATACAGTTACTTTGTTATCACTTTCTTATGATGGACAGGATCGTATCACAAGACATTTTTGTACCCTAAGGTAGGTTCATAGCCTAGTCTTTATTAGCTAGAAAGAATAAGATTATAGCAAATAAATAAATAAATAAAATGGCATTTTATCTGAAAACTGCAATGGAATATATTGATTTAGTTTTCTACACAAAGACATCCTTTTATCAAAACCAAAGTTTTAAAACACTCACATCAGTTAATACACTGCATCATTTTTTTCAGACAGTGATGAAGTTTCTTTTATGGATGAAAAAAACTAAGATAATTTGCCTGAATACCACAAAATTAGCTAGTATATGACTACATTTTAAGTCTGAGAAGTCCAAATTCTGCATTCTACACTCCTTTTTCTTTTATCCACTCTGCCTATGGAACCATAGTTTTATTATCTTTTAGCTACTTAGTTGGGAACACTATAAATTAAGCTCATTGCCTTGAAAAAGAACTATCAAATTTCAAATAGAAAAAATCCTAATCATGACAATTCTGACCCTTTTTGTATTTACTTCCACTCTCCATTCAATTTGATAGTTACAACTATTTCCTGCTACTTAAAATTAAGCGGTTTGGTCACTTTTCAAGATTATTTATTTCTTTTCAGTGTGATACTGTGATATTTATTTCTTTTCTTTTATCTGTGATACTGAGAGTTAAACTCATGTTTTTTCTAAAATTTCTTCATAAACTGAGTCATAATACAGTCTATCTTTAAAAAGTACACGGAATAAAACTAGTGCACTAAGCACCCCCCACTTTTTTTACCTGTGTTTTTCTCAATAAAGTCCATGGATTCTTCACTGGCACTAAAATGACTGGAAGTTGCTTTTTTCTCTGCGTCCTGTTCAACATCAGATCCAGTGTGAACTGATGAGTTTGTACTCATTGGTGACCGTGGCATATCTGTCAATGAAATCCTACGACCAGTACTACTGCTCAGCATAGACTTGCTCATTAGAATCTTGGGCGATGCTGTCATATCAAAGTTCAGTTTGATTTTCTCTTGTTTGTCTGTCTTTGCAGTTCCAGCAGTTGGATTTGCAGGGTCTAGTAACATTTGGTATTGATTGTTGGGAGTATACGGTGTCCGGAAAGGTGCGTAATTAAATACTCCAAATTTTCTACGAATGTTATCAACATAAACCTCCATTTCTTGCATTGCACTATTGAAGATGCTTTTAGTCTTTTTCACAGAAAAAGGAATTTCTTTAGACATGAGGTAGCAATTATTTATTGGAACCCAGGCCCTATACATAAAACAGAAGAAGAAAAGATAACTACATTTCACACTGTGGGTTGACATTGGCAACTTTTGTGCACATAATTTATTTTAGCCTCATCATAAACATATGGACACCTCAGATCATTTCAAAAGACCATCTCTACCTTCTTCTTGTAATAGTTCAGTGCTTAGTTTTGGTAAATAAGTAAATTGCATGTCTTAGATTATCACTATCAGTAACACATAAACCAGGAATAAACACTGGTCAAATATGACAAAATATTCCTAATTAGAATTGCCCATGTAACTGTGGGGTCACCATTGCTAAACTGTCTTTCCATCTGTCATGGTTAGCAGCAAAGCATAAAAAGGTCAGGAAAAAAAAAAAAAAAAGACTTCACAAGCACATTCTTAAAAACATTTTATACCCCATGTCAGGGTGATCAAACTCCTCAATGCAAGTAAAAGTTCTATGAAAAGTATTGGACAGATTTTATTTATCATGAAGTAAGGCAGACTCTAAAACCGTGCCTTCTAAGATTCTAAAATATGAGGAAGTTTGACTCAATTATTTCATGGTCCTATACAGTTGGGTTTTTTACAGTCCCTGTTTTTATACCTGTATAGATTTATATTTTCAATTCATGACAAACCAACTTACATTCATCATGGCTTTCTCCATCTAAGCAGAGGGTTCACAAGTACAGAAAACTTAACACCTTCCAGAGCAAAACTGGCATTTTCAACACAGATTATGTTTTCTATATTTTTTAAATCTACAATTGTGTGTTTATTCCCATACTGTTCAACAACAAACAACTTTAATGGCCTCTTCCATCCTTAAGAACTACAGTTCTCTGCAGCACAAAACCAGACACAGGAATTAACTTGCATACTCACAGAGATTAAATCTGTATTAATCTTACAAACACATGACTTACATTCTACAGACACCATGTAAGAAACTAAAACCATATATGCTACAGCATTACATAGTTTATTAGGGTCAAGGTTCGAAAGACAGCATCCAAAAACTCTTAACAGCACAAAATTACAACAAGAATTTTGTGAGTACAGCCAAAGACATCCTTTGGTTAAATTCCTACCTGTCATGTTGGCCAAAGAAACGGGCATCAACTTGTCCGTCTTTATCTCTCAGTGCTTTAGCAGGCCAGAATGGAAAGCCTTTGAGTTTAGCCCAGACCAAAGGGTGGGGATTGCTCTAGAGGAAGAGGCAAAATACGCAGTAAGAAAATACAAGTAGTAATACCTTCAAATATGATAAACAACATGATTTTTTTTTTAAATTGTATGTATTAGTTAAATTCAATAAAGATCTGACATGCACAAGGCACTTGCCAGATACAAGATTCCATTTTACTGCATACTAGATATATATAAAATAAATCCTGAGAGGACAAAATAATAAAATTATTTAAAAACCCAACACATAAAACCTTAAGTAATCTCAAACACATCGTAATTACACTTTTTTATTAATTTATTTTTGATTAGTTCCCTCCAAATATGTAGCATAATGTAAGTGAGGCTAAGGCAAATCTTTCAAATCCTCTAACTTTCACTTAAGTCCAAGAAAGAACTTGATGGATTACATGTTTCTACTTAAGAGTCCTAAGGGGCCTTCCCAAGTTTTGTGCAATAATAAACAAAAACAGAAGACAGACATCATATTAATAGGTCATGAAAGAAAAATCAAGTCTAAATTCTCAGATCCACACCGGCAGAAATACACATTCACATTTCAGAAATCTTGCCCTGAGTGTTAAGTACCACATGCAAGCACAGATGACCCAGGAGCAGATTATATCTGAGGACAGAGAACTTGTGAACTGGTTGCTGACAGACTTTACAGTTATTTCTGACTGAACCAATCCTTTTGTGAACACATGCAATTTTACAGCTAAACATCTTGAGATAGTCTGACTCCACAAAGAGCATGATATGTAAGCGCAAGCTACTTGGTAAACTTCAGCAGCTTTCCTCGACTCAGTAACCACCACAGATTTAAAACAATGGGGGGATAACAAGGAACAGTCAAACAAGAACTGCTGGTTTAATCTATTAGCTAGACTATCATAATCTTGAACTTACACAAGGCTCACAAAACCAATTTTCTCGTTTTTGGCAAGCAGCTAAATAACATTCCGGACATACTTCAATTTCATTCATCTGAAAAGAAAAAAGCAGACAGTTATGGAGAGTTCAAACAGAGTCCAAAGTGTGATCAATGTTTTTATGTTAGCCTGTCTAGCTGGCTAGCATAATTTTTCCACAAATTTGTGGTCATAAATCAACATTTCCCAGGTGGCCAAGGTGGCCAACAGCATCCTGGCCTGTGTCAGCCATGGTGTGGCCAGCAGGAGTAGGGAGTGGCTTTTCCTAATACAGAATCTTACATGTTATTGATATTCCACCAACCCAAGGAAAGAGTTTAAGGCCTTTGGCTGATATTTATTCACAATAATGCACTGATAGGGCAACAAAACTGGTGAAGGGTCTAGAGAGCAAGTGTTAAGAGAAGCAGTTGAGGGAACTGGGATTGTTTAGTCTGGAGAAGAGGAGGCCGAGGGGAGACCTTATCGCTCCCTACAACTGCCTGAAAGGAGGGTGTAGTGAGGTGGGGGTTGGTCTCTTCTCCTGGGTAACAAGCAGTAGGACAAGAGGAAATGGCCTCATGTTGCACCAGGGGAGGTTTAGGTTGGACATTAGAAGAAATTTCTTCACCCAAAGGGTTGTCAAGCACTGGGACAGGCTGCCCGGGGAAGTGGCACTCCTGGAGGTATTTAGAGGACTGTCAATGTGATGCTTTGGGACACGGTTTAGTGGGGGATTTGGCAGTGCTGGGTTAACGGTTCGAATTGATGATCTTAAAGGTCCTTTTCAACCTAAAATACTCTATGATTTACTTGCTGTGAAATCAACTCTTTTGACAGACACACATCTTTTTTCTACCCCTGTAACATATGCATTCCAGTTAATAAATCAGTTACATTTTTACATCTCTCTTCAGACTGTATGCTACTGTCATTTACTCTAGTCAAAAAAAATACATCCTTTGTTTGAGATTGTATTTACTCCAGTAATAAAGAATTTTTTATAATAATTTCTTCCAGTGGCAAAAATATAACTTCAACTGGGCAATTAATTTCATAATGTATGCAGAACCAAAAATAAATATTTTACTCCTTATGCTTACATTATATAAACTAGTTAAGATACCAGGCTCAGGTTACACATGTATTTTGTTCTACTAAGAATTGATAAATCTTCAGAATTTATGTGAATTCTAGATATTGCTGTGTCAATTCAAGGATGGAGAAAGCACTTCCATAAATATAAAGGGTCAGATCATCAGATAATTTATATCAATGAAATATTGTTCAAACATTACATTTAGAATAGTAAGCTTTTGTAATACTCAACACAGATTGCCACTGAAATAAAATCAGTGTAAATGATCAGTTAAGAATACATGCAGTCATTTTCACATTTATTCAGAGGAATTTCATACTCTTGCAGCAAAAGAAAACCACCAAAAAAATGCATGTGTGAATCAGAAGATGTGGGTGTCTTTCCAACTCCAAATACTCATTTAGAAGATGTTGTCTTTGTGCAGAATCCATATGCCCACTTTCTTCACTCCCCACGCTGCACTGCAAGTCTTAATTATAGATAGTGAATATCCTACTGGAAGACACATTAGCAATGCCCTTGCCATTCTGAAGGCCATGGATATGCATATGTAAACATAAGAAAACTACAAAAAATAGTTATGCAACACACACATTAGAAAATACATACTATTTCACTCATGAATATGTGAAATGGAACACTAAAAATACAGAACAATTAAGTTAATTGGGGCACTCATACCTCATGCTCACAGATTTTGATGATGACTTTTGCTGTTTGTGTCAATTTGTGATTTCCTGAGGAAACAATAAAATGCTTTAACCAAGAAAATTGTTGTGCTAGAATTATGATAAATTATGATAACAGGTTTTAGATTTAAAAGTTAACGTTAAAGACAAAAGAGAATATCTAAAGAGACAACGTAAAACACGTACGTATAAACTACACGCTCCCAAAAGCGGAAGGTAGGCACTTTTCTTCTCAACATAACACTGTAACAATCTTTAAATGTCCGTTTTTGACCCCTGTTACAGCCTGCTCACCACTGATACACTCTTTTCTCTTTCAGCAAGGGACATGCTCCATGACCTCCTCAATTAGGTGGCCTACAAGTGCTGCACAACGCAGAATGCGAAAGCAACCTGGGAGTTGGAACCAGACAACCTTTAAGGTCCCTTCCAACCCAAACTACCAGTGTTTCTAACTTATTTGAAATTTTTTTTAAGGTGGAATGAGCAAGTGACAGCATGGGCTGTATTTGGTCCTGCAGTTTTACGGATGATGGCTGTTAAAAAAAAAATCTTTTCGGTTTAGGCACTCTGGTCATTAACAGGAAGATACTTTCAGCGTTTGCCAACTAGAAGTCTACAAATTGCTCTATGACTTTAACTATTTCAAAGTTTCATGTTTGAGGACGTAAGTACATATTAATATTTACCCCCATTGTAAATAATGCAGTTGTGCAAAATCCATTTGGCATCAGCCAAAAATGCTTCAGTGCAACCGTACATTTTCTTTTTAACATTCTGTAAAGAAAAAAATTAAGAATATATCAGGAAACAGAAAAGAGTAAAAAGTGACATCTACTTCCTGAACATTGTTTCCTATCAGTCATAGAATTGATAAAACTGACTACTTATTTACTGTAAGATTTATGATTCTGAACTCTTAAGAATATATCAAATTTGGGATATCTTTTGACTGTCTAAAGACAGTATTAACTTTCTAAATGAATTTTAAATGATCAATTACTTAGATCAGCACATTCATCATTTCCAAAAATGTCTTAATTTCCTGAAATAGTGTTCTATTCAGTGTCTCTGCAGAAACCAGTCCTTGATTTTTCCTACTGAAATATTATTACTCCACAGCATTTTTATTTCTTAATTTTTAAAAGACTCAGAAAAAATTATTGGTCACAGAGCATAAGACGGTATGTTTGATATACCAGTCTACCCACTGGGTAAAGTAATTCAATTAAATAAAATCAGGTAAGACATGGTTTTGTAACAACTTTATGGTATAAAGACATCAACCTCCACTGTAAGGACATGAAGAATGAAAACTCGCTGTCTCTTCACCAGGTTCTAGCAGAACAAAGCTCTGCAATGCTTCACTCTTCATTAAGCAGTGGAGAATGGAGAGCTTCATGATTTGAAACTTTTAAGTTATCATTGAACTGAGAATGAAAGTTCCATTATCCACCTCTTGACTGCTTCTTTTTTCTTCTACACCTCAGGTGCAGTGGAGATTACAGTATTTGTTGAATGATCAGTAAAATTAGTCCGGAATGACCCCTGGATATACACTCCAATGGTCCCAAATTAACGGACCAGTGATCCATTAGTAGCTTACAAACTTGATGATCAAATACAAACTCTGATTAATGAAGTCTCCCCACAGGATCATTCTTGGAATTAGATGAACTTATACAGGACAAAGTATCAGTGTAAGCCTGCATTTTTCATACTGTTTTTCCTGAGCATTTTTTACTAGTTCAGACAAAATAATGGACTTGTTCAATTGGCGTGTGATTGTTTTCAAGGTGTAACTGAACTGGCATTTATAATAACCAAAAAAAACCCCTATCAAAATAATTTCGAGCAATCTCTCTCCCCCTCCCATCAAACACTTCAGAATCTTACTGATAGCAATCAAACTCAAGGAACCTTCCTCCCCTAGCTTCATACAAACCTTCTCTAATGTACAAAGGTCCATTGGATGAAAGATATATTCTGCATAATCTGGGTGTTGATCCAGTGAAACTGGCTTCTGAAATGGCTCTGTCTGTTAGGAAAAAAAAAAAACAAACACACTGCTTATTAAAACCGAACAGTTTCATCAATGACTCAATACTCATTCATTTTCTAATACTACTTCCAACTGTGATATCAGATAAAATTCTTTAAAAGTAGGTATAAAATTTTGTGAAGTAATAAAGTATTGGCAGGCAAAGGGGAACAAAAAGGTCTCATCTAACTGATTTTTCACATGCTGGAAATAATGTATTGCAAAAGTTAGGGGGGTTGTATAATGTACTGTTATTATTTACAGTAGGATTTTTGTGGAGAGTATCAGATGATGAGGCTCAACAGATAGTTTTTAGCAGAATGAAGACACTAAATTTCTGATTCACTGGACTCACAAATACTTCTTTTTCAGACTGTCATTAGAAATAACTTTCAAAGCAATGGTGGCTGGTAAGGCAAACACATTCAAACTGTTATCAGTGGGACTATATTATATCTACTAATGTGGAGGGACCGCAGTTCTTGGAACACAACCAATTAAAGCTTGCAGGTACCAAAACAACAGGTTATTAGTAAAATGCCTAAAGAGCAAAACACCTCAATAGCATCCATTAATCACTAGCTTTCTAACTACATTTTCAAAACACTTTGTGAATTCAATATGAACAGATACTGACACTTTGCTGTGGAAAAGCAGCACTTAAAGCTTCTAGTGGTTCCATCTAATAGGATAGTATTTACCACTCCAGAGCAAAAGGATACCAAGAGCCAAAATCTGTCAGTACTCAAGAGTAACCTTCCCAGAATTGCCACTATTGTTCTGCTAAAGTACTTGTAGAGAGATCAGAGTTGCAGAGCCCATGATTCTCCACATGTGGTTTTCCCAATATATTTTACTATAACACTGCAGGTATAGAAACACTCTCCCTGCTCCTTCAACTTACGCACAGGAACGAGAAGGCAAGAGGAGTTAAGACAACCCTTGGTAATTCATCACATCATATTTTGATTTACTGTTATCTTCACACATGTGAAAACTAGGCAGAGCTTGAATGGTGAAGAACAAGTGACCAGAATTGTTGAAACTTAGATGCAAGAATGAGTGACTGGAAAAGCGGAAACTTTGAGACATGGTGATTTTGAGAAGTGAGTCTAAGATAGACAAATGGAGATAGATACAAGTTGGAGGAAAACCAATTTTACTTCTGTGATAAAAATTCATAGAGCAGGGGCTTCATATTGCATGGAAGTTAATGGCATAGGTTTTAACCACACTGAGGAAAATTTCTTCAGTGTTTCAGAAGTATATGATATAACTGACTTTCATGGTAAGAACAATTTCTACTAACAGATAGAAGCTAGGCTTTCAATGGGTATAACAAATACCATAACAGTGTCTGTGCCTGGCGTTCCTGCCCATGTAACTGTATTGGTAAGAGACGATGTCTCCTCATTCCCTTGTATCAGAGACAGCACTGTCCACTTCTAGAGAGTGAGAAACCACTGTGTCCCCCTGGAAAGCCACATATTTTCACTACACCTACTGAAACTGCATCCAGAAGTTACATCAAGAAACTACATTTTAAATGCACTCCAAAACAGTCCACACAGCCTAAACTAATTTGTCCATACTACACAGGTGTCAGAGCACAGAAGCAGTCACATACAATCTGATAAAATAAAATAGGTTCATAATGCACAAAAGGAAGCAAAAGCCAGGATTACAACAAACATACAATCCAAGCATTTAAAAGAAAAAAACAAACAAACTTCCTTACCCCTGGCTGTTTCATTTTCTGTAGTGCAAACTTCAGTAAATATGATAGCTGTTCAATGGTGAGCATTGTCATAGCTTTACTCTGTGTTTCTATGCATTCTGCGACTGTGATTTTCTAAAAGTTAAGATTACAAAGTATTTTGTCAGTAAACATTTCTAGGTAAATTCTTCTCCACTGAAACATACTAGCATTCAAACGGAAGATAATAACTATCTTATAAGAAATAAAACATTTCTGATGATGAGGTACAAGTACTCCAGATGCTTGTTTTGTTTTTTGTTCTTGGTACATTAATTAAAAAAAAGAAAAAGGGAAAAGATCAGAAAATGATTCATCATCTTCAAGATCACACGAAGTGAACGTGTGAATACATAACACTCCCAAACACTATGTGAGTTCACAGCGATGTGAAGAAGTGAGAAGATCACCTGGTCTCTAATACAATAAGTGATCAAAGAAAATATGCAATAAACCAATTTGCTTTCAGTAAAGGTACTTTGATGATAAGTATTCTCTCCCTAGGAATCATTGGAGAGGAAAGATCAAATTCTTCCTCAGCCCTGCAGAAAAAAATAGTCATAAAATACCCACTTGTTTATGTAGACCCTGCAGTGCAGTTTTTGTATGCACTGCTGCAGGGCTGATCATCCCACTAGAAGAAGCACAAGTTAAACTAGTCAAAACTGCAGAAAGTTTTCAGAAATAGAGATGCCTGATGAAGAGATCACTCTTTGAAATGGTGCCTTCTCTAGAGATGGGAACACAAAGGAAGTTGAAGACTCATGGTAAGAAGGCAAACACAATCCAGGTACACCCACAAAAAAAGTGAAGCAGCAATGGATGCCTCCTCTTCTGTACAAATTTTTCTGGTACCTTTACCAAGAGGGAACACAGGAATAAACCAGAAACATTTCAGAATGCAAAAAAAAAGCTGCTCATATCTCACAAACAAAACAGAAATCCACTCCTTATATCAAACTAACCTCACATTCTGGGCAAAACCAATCCCCCTCTGGTTCCGCTGTCAGTTTCAGACACTTAGCATGATAAACCCGAGGACAGAGTTCACAGCAGAGGACTTGGCCTTCCCGATGACAAACCCAGCAATAGAAATCATTCCGTCCATCCTGTGGTACAACATCAACAGGGTCTGTGGTGAGTGGCTGCTTCATATAGTAAAACGGACCATGTCTTAGTTCTGACTGAAATGTAGGCAAGAAAAACAGGTTTGGTTTCAAAACAAATTTGCATTTTTTCAAATAATAATATTCATAATATATAAGCAAACAGCAATTTACAGAGTTCGATTTACATATATCCAAGCATAGTATCTTATTCATTGCACAAAGTCACAAAGTCATTCAAAAAGAAGTTTACTTCTTATTCAGATGTCAAATGCCAGTTTGCACTCAAAACAGATTTTTGTGTGAAGTGAGGGCATTGAGTGCAAGACATGCAACCCAACAAAAGTCAGTAAACACCTTTATCTTCAAGAAAGAAGTACTGCTACAGAACTATTAGATCCTCTAACCTCAGAATTCCATGGGGCTCTGCAAGCTAAATACTGAGATATTTAGTGGTGGCTAAACCTGGGGCAACTGAAGTTAGTCCTGAAACAAGAAGCTGAATACCATGCAAATCTGTCCCAACTTGCAGCAGTTCACAACTTTGTACAATGAAACACGCCAGTGCTTGTTTTGATTAATAAGGCAAACTGTAGAGTAGATGACAAAGGAGCAAATTCATATCCTGAATAGCCACCTCTGCTACAGGAACAAGAACACCAGGAGAGATACAATCCACCATTTAAATGTATATCAGAATTTAAGACTCTCAATCTCCAGTGGTTTGACTACACTACAAAACAGTGTAAACTGCATGAACTAGTCTTCCACTTGGCCCCAGACAGCTCAAAGATGACACAGCTGATGCCAAAACACAAGCAGCAAAGAACCTGGGATGGCTAAAATGGGTGCCCAGATACCTAAAGTTGCTAGATCAGCTTTGAAGAGATGCTAACATTTATTGGAGAACTACATTTTATTTATTGATGACAAGGGAACTTAAGTTTTCTGTTTGGTATTAATTATAGGGGTGGTTTTCTGATCAGAGCATACAGGGAATGCAATCTTAAGTTTTAGGTGGTTTATTTACTGTGATTTTTTTATTATGTAAAACCATTCGCTCACAATGACATTATTGTAACTACCCAATCGCTTGTAGTTTGCAGAACCATTTTGTTTGGTTCTCAGGTAATTTTGCATGCATCCTACACCATTTACACATCTGGAAGTTCTTAGACCCTTGAGCTGTCACACGCCCATGTGACTCATAGAACAGTGCAACCATATGCATGTTCCATACCTTCGCAGCATCCTGTACAAAACTAGTCACACAGGGCATAATTGTCACCAGAAACCACCAGCATACCAGCTTGGACTGTGGTATTTCTAGATTTCTAAAGTTACAAAAGACAAGGTCTAATTACTTGCACAAACAGAGGACTTTCAAGATCAAATTAGATGATGCAGAAGCGACAATCCAGCTGAAGATGTTTTATCTCAAAAGATACACCAGAAGAGAGATCACCTGCAATTGTCTAACACTGTGTAGTATTTTAGGCAAAGAAAGGATGTTACCCACAAACATTCCCAAAGCACTCTGCTACCTAAAACTTCACTCGAATTTTTATCAGTTTTGGTGTTTTCCATTTTCTATTCTACAGATGATACAGCTACTAAAAATATACTTTGCTCCCTTTCTGTGTGTGTGTATATATATATATTTAATCTATAACATGACAAGACTTTCGGAAGGAAGGTTCTACGAGAGCCTGCAGAATAAGAGGGACGGCATAAGGCTTTAACTACATTTCAAATGTATTACTACTACAATCATTCAAACAGATACAAAGGCATATGGAAACCCAGAGTGAGGAAGTGAAAGCTGCAATTTGCAGCACAGAAACATGTTTTGTTTGCAGCTATTTGCACTGCAGCTGTGAGACCAAAATCTCAATAGTGTATACATGGAGATGCAGCTACGGGGCATTTCCTCAACTGCCAATAAAGGATATTACCAGAAGCATTAATACGTATATTATGACTTTGAAGTGGGTATAAGCAGTATATGCACACTAATTTCCTAAGAATCAAAGATACTACTTTAAGACAAATATAAAACCTGTGAAACTATTCCAGAGAAATCAGCTCATAACATCCAAACTGAAGTCCATTTTTGCTAAAGCATGAGAAGAATTAGTTGTCTGTTCAAGGATGCTTATAGACATCTATCACCCTATTTTGTGTAAGCCAAGTCTAGGAGCAAAAAGAAAAAAAAAAAAAAGGTTCTGAGACTCAAAAGAGACACAAACAACAAAACTAAAGGATTAGTAATGAGTAATTCACCTACATCAAAGGACCTTTTCACTTGTTCTGATCAGAGTAAAATATTTTAAGAGTCCGAAGTTTAACAGTTATGAAAGAAAAGCTTTCTTTTCTCAACTGTTTCACAACTAGCCAATTCAAGCTCAAACAGGTGACAGGTGGTAGCTTGTTTTAAAGTCTTTAATGAAGTTATTAAGGCCTGTAGAATGACATAGAAAACTGAAGAAAAACCAACAGTTTGTAGTGCTGTTGTAGGGCAAAAAAGATCACTATTTAGATTCAGTTTAAATTAATACTGAAGCTAGTAGCAAAACAAACTGACAACTTCAATTTCACTATAACTGACCAACTAAGCGTCAGAAGTTCCTCATTTTTAACCTTAGCTACATTCTACAATTCCATCACATTCTTTGCTTGTATTTCAACACTTTAAATACCTGTTGGCACCATTCTGAAGATCTGTTACTGCATCCACAACATGTAATATGAAGCTTCGTGCAACTATGACTTTAGTAACGGCATCTTGAAACATTACGATTTTACAAAACACTTTGTAATGTAGAATATTAAGTTAGAGGTTTCCAGTGATGATGTCATACCTCAAATTGGATTTATCAGCCAATCAGAACCATAGCTATCAGCTACATTATACTTGAAACTTAACCTGAGAGCAAAACAAGTAATTGTATGCTTAGCTCGCATCGGTTCAGCTTTAAAAGAATCTTTAACAACTCCTGCTGCCATATAGAGCAGAGTTTTGCACCTACTTTAGAAACAATAATCTTCAAGCATGCCCATTTCAAATTTGACATGTAAGACAATATTAAATTAAAAACAACTTGTAAAAGCTAAACAAAACTAAACAGATTATTTTCCCTGATAACCTGTAACAAATACAGCAAACTAAGCAAGTCTGATTGCTTTTCTTCATTAGATATACAACTTTATTCTATCCTGTAACATTTCAGGTCTGAGTACCTGGAAAACAGAAAAGAATTTACCGAGGGGAATGTATCAAGTTCAATCTGCAATTGTGTTTTCAAATATATTTTTAAATGCATGAATAAAAAGTGGAGATTAATATCCTAAGATTCAATTCCACTGTTTGTAAAATTGTTTCTACACCGCACAGTCAGAAGCTCAGACTTCAGTGGGGCAACATCTCCCCAGTAAATGTCCAGGATGTAGAGGAATTTATACAGCCTACAATGAAGCTCAGTAAAAGCCAAACTGACCACACTAAACTAGTGCAAGCCTGCCTACACATGCTATTACTAGACCTCCCAATTACCCTTAAATAAAATATGCTTGACACTGTAAGACTGTTCTCTATCAAGGCCCGATTAATTCACGGTCTTTGTTTCAGCACAACTACAGTGATTAGGAATTTTGTTTTCTTTCTTAACCAGTGCAATTGTACCAGGATAATTTTTAAGGTGGATGCTGTTACACCAGGAAAAAGTGCTTGAAACCCTTAGAACTTAATCCTATGTTTGTAGGATCCTGGCTAAAAACACTGACACACAAAAGCACTTTGAAAAATACACCTGCATGTCATTATTAGATTAGATGAGAAATAATTTCATTAAGGCTAAAGACTTCTTTCATGTAATCTCCTCCAAGATGATGCAGGTGCTTTACAGCTTTTGCTATTCAACACACTTCATGTAGTTCCTTCACTTGCATCATACAATGAATCATAAATTGTCAGTCTTCTGGAGTCAAGTTCTTCTAAGAACTACAAAAAATGCTGTAAATTCAGTATTCAGAAGACACTGAAAATAAGGTTTCAAGCATGAAGGCTGGAAAGTACTGTCAGTGTGACCCTTTGATTCAACTAGTTTGGTAGGAGCACACATTGCCAGCAATTTAAAGGAAGGGGAGGGAATCTGCAGAGTACCAAGGAAGGAGCTGAACTTCTGTTAATAAGTGGCAGTAGGACTGAAAGCAGATGAGGGACTTCCACTGACATTATGAGATCTTTCTTAATCTAGGATATCACACCACTGAACATTTCCTTTTAATGGTTTTAATGAATAACAGCTATTGTTCTTGTTATCACTATTATATCCCTTCATAAACCTTTTGTTCAAAATTGCATTTATTGGTTATATGTCTCATTAGCTTTACGAAATCAAAAACCAGGACACAGGTGGTCTCTCTCATTAAGACATAAAACAAAAATAAAAGAACATACAGATCCAACTTACAATGCCAACTCCTACACCCATTCATTCAAAAATGAATATCCACTTCTTAGAGTAGAAAAATTGAGCTTCCTAAAGAGGAGGAAGCTCCTGATCAGCTGTCTCTACATCCCTTATTGTTTCATATTCTAGCATAACAAGACCATGACTTCTCTTACCTGCTCTTTATTATTACTGTTCAATAGACCAGGTTTCTTTTTCTTTTTTATAGGACTTGTTGATGCATCTTGTGGTGAGTGGCCATTAGAGGAATGTGGAGGGCTGGGAAATTTCCTTTTTTGTGCTGTGCGTTCAGCAGAGCCAGGATCTAGAATGGATACAAACAATATATTTGAAGAGTGCATATCAATGAAAAACACTCAAGCTTTTAATGCACGCAACAAAACAAAATGATAGGTAAAAGCATGGGGATCAGAAGTCATCCGTATCATAGAGAAACAACAGAACCCATCCCGAAGTCATTCCCGTATTTTCAGTCCCCTATTGACATGTGCTAGTGCAAACGTTCTGTGGCTGCACGTTAAACAGTTTAATAAAACCTGACTTAAAAACTACTTTTTTTCTGAGTAATTTTTTTTTTCTATGACCTCACTCACTGCACAGCCACATGAATGCCTGTAATGCATTCAGCAAAGCAGTTATGCTAGATGGGAACATGTAGCAAGAAGAAGAAATGCTGCTTTTGCTATTAAAGCCACCTTGAAGTTTTTTCTGTCAAACAGCTTTTGGCATCTATTTGACAGTAGCCAGAGGCAATCAAACTGCTGGTTGCCATCATCCTATATCCTTTTCCTTCTGGATCTGTATTCTTGCCTTCCAGGCCTCACTGGGTGATGGGCTGAGCTGTCTCAAGTTGCCAAGTCACCAAAAGCTTGCTGAAACACTCCACCTGAAGTCTCCAGTGAACATCAGAGGTACCAGAACAACAACCAGCAACTGGATCAACTTATCAGAGCATGTCCATTGCCAATAGATTTAAATTAACTATAAAAAGGAAGGTTCCTCAAATAGAAAAACACTGAGAACCACAGCACTAGACTATTTCACATAGGCAGTGGACAAACACCTTTCTCCCAAAAACACCTCCTAGTCTGACTTTTTACTATTTATTGAATGAGGCAATTTTGTTGAGCTACAACACCCCTCTCAAGGAATGATTTTAATACATTGAAGGAGTCACACACAATATGGCCACTGACACTTTCTCATTAGACACTGTTTACAAGTGTGCTAGTAAAATACAGTTTAGCTTAAAACTGTATTCGGAATAATGCCCTATTGAATTGAAAAGTTACACTAGATCGAACTCAACAGTAAGGTAATTTGTCACATGGTACAGTCTTAGAGGGTTTATGGCACAATACAGAACTGGATTAGATTTCTACATGATTTCTGTATTTTGTGCAAAGGCAGAGGGGAAACAGTCAATAAGGAGAAATAAACAACAAGAAATAACCTATGCGCTTTTCTCTAAATTGAAAAAAAAGTATTTGGAACAGTAGTTGAGCACAAACTGACTATGAACAAATTATTCTTTTCTGTTCTGAAAAAAGGCAAATGATACATAAAAATAGGAGTGATACATGTAATCTTGATGTAAACATTGGAATGCTTGCATATATGCTTAAGTTT